AATCGGCTGTGCTGGGCTCCTGCTCCACAGCTGCTGAGGTGGCTCTGGGCAAGGGTCCGGTGTACAGTGTAGTGCACATCACCTCAAAGTTCCAGCCCCTGAAGTACAATCCTTTTGGTCATTCATATATTACAACCCTCTTTTTTTTTTTTTTTTCCTTCTTTCCCCCCCCCTTACCCCATTTTGTTAAAAAAAATAAAGTTTTGCGGGTGTTTTCAGATTTTGTTTCTTCTGATTTGCCTTCTTTCTTCTGAGCACGTGGGGAATGTGGTGGTTCGCGAGCCACCTCTTACTGGATCCCTCGAAAGAGACACATGGCAAAGATCATGGCAAACAGCTGGGAAGAGGACAAAAACAAAACAGAGAACCACGAGTCAGCTGCATCTTCCAGAAAAATGGGCAAAGACCTCAGGACCACCCATCTCTCCCTCCTGCTCAGAAGTCCATGCCGCAGTGCAAGGGACCCTTCCCACTGCCCAGGGGAGGCTGTGGCTAAATTTTTTTTTTTCTTCCCTGAAGGCCATCCCTCCCCTCCTTCCCCTGTCTCCAGAACTGTTTGTGGAGCCTGGCTTTGTTCCCAAACTGCCCTTGGTGTTGCAGGGGGTATTCCTACCACCCACAGCGGGCACAGCTGGGCCTTCATGGGGCTGCCAGGGCTCTGCCCAGCTCCTTCTCCTTGGCACAACATGGGGCACAAGGGAAAGTACCCAGCCTTGCCCCAGCAATGCTGCAGGGACATCGCTTCTGGGCTAACATCAGGTCTGGTGGAAGCCCCTTCCTTGGAGACACCAGCAAAGAGCCAGACACTAATGCTGGATAACGGAGTCAATAGAGTTTCAGGCTCTAAACAGAAGGTTTTAAAGTGAAGGTGGACATCTACCACTGCTTGCTTTCCTTCCAGTCACACAACGGTAAGTACCTCAATGGCCAACACTCCGATGGCAAGGGCTCCTGCAAGGTACACGTAGGTCTCGAAGGAGTTGAGGATCACAGTGTAGCAGCCCTAGGAAGGACAAAAGGTGGTGAGACACACCTGAGCAGCACATTGTGGTGTTCTCCTTAGTAGAGAGGTGCTCTCAGCCCCGAGCACCACCAGACTAAGCCCAGAGGAAAGGACCCTCAGGGGAGATGACAGGCAGCCCAGGTTGGATAGGGATAAGGAGGATTTATTTAAAGCCAAGGCAGGAGATTCTCCAATCCTCTCTGATAGCCAGCAGCTCTTTCACACCCCAGGCACACATCTCTGTGCCGTCACCCAAAACAGCACAGATGAACACCTGCTGATCTTCTGGCTACAGAAGAATTAATTTCATTAAAACGCAGGGCCATGCACTACAGCAATCCTTCCACTTATGCAGCGTAGCCACCGTCGTCTTTCATGTCATTTATTATTGTTCATACAATTAACAGCAGGTAGGTCTTCTTCAAAGGTTTCAGGATGTTTCTGGAAGTCACCAGCTTATCCTGACCTCAGTTTTCCCAGCCTAAAATTCCAACCCACCAGCAAATTTCTGCAAATAGGTCACACATAAAGAGAAAAGTAGATTCATAGAATCATGGAATGGTTTGGGTTGGAAGAGACCTTAAAGATCATCTAGTTCCACCCCCCCTGCCATGGGCAGAGACATCCTCCACTACACCAGGTTGCTCAAAGCCTCATCCAACCTGGCCTTGAACACTTCCAGGGGTGGGGCATCCACAACTTCTGGAGTTTGTCCAATGTAAAAAGGAGCTCTCTTCCCCACTGAGCATATACTTCACTTTTAATCCCATCCATAGCGCTGAGATGTCTCAATCAGCTGATTTTTTCCTTCCACCCAAAAAGAAAACATCTGGGCTGCACAGACAGGACAACAGTTACGTACCGGTGCCCGTGCCAGACCCTGATCCCCGCGAGTGAGACACAACTCCCATCCCTCTGCCCGCTGTTAAAACTCCTTTTCCTGGTGTTTGGCCTCCCTCACCTGTCGGTTCTGAAACCTCTCGACGCCCGCCAGGCAGGCTTCCTTGTTGACAAACATCCCTTCCCGGCTTTGGAGCTCTCGCTGGCAACAAGCCTCCGGTGTCGCCTTTTCCAAAGAGGAGTGTGAAAGATAAGGGATAGCTTCGAAATCTTCTGGTCCGTTCACTCCACAGCAGGCAAACTAGGGAGAGAGAGGGACAGGGAAGAAAGGAAGACCAAGTTGGCACTTCGCCCTGAAAGGAGATCTACCAAATCTACCAAAGACCTGTTCTTGTGGGGATCAAAGCTTTAGTCAAAGCAGAGACAAAACAACTCTTGTTTCCAAAGAAGTGAGTTGTGCTGGTACCTTGGGAGCTTCTGTTTCATCAAAGCCTTTTTATAAAGTCCCACTGTTCCCATCTCGTCCTGTAGACTCTAAGGTACCACTGGGAACGTTGCCACGAAGTACACAGGGCTTTGGAGCACATCCAGAATCACTTGCTTGAGATCACCAGCAAGTCTGTAAGGGAGCCAGCAGCACAATCCAGGCTCCTGACCACCCGTTCTCCCCATAGCCAATGGCCAGGGCTGTTGCTGCTCAAAGGCACTGCTAGATGACTCCAGTAAGGTTCCTTTTTAGGATTCAAGTCAGGTCCTTTTTAAGGATTCAAGTCACACTCTGTCTCCTTTCAGTCAGCAAAAGGAAATGTCTTTAATAAAGTTCTGAATCATCATGAAGGACAGCAATCATCTTTTTCTTTTAAGATTAAAATTGACTTTTCATCTGCAGAACCTGACACCCTGCTCTTCACTCCTGAAGACACACACCGTGGGCTGTACTGAGCACCAAATTCGCACGCGTACGTACACACACACACACAGAACTCCTTGTAGTAGGTAAAAACAACTCCAATTCCCACAACAGCTGATCTTTGACCTGCCTAATTAGGATCGTAATAACAAAGTCAATTTTGATGGCCAGTATGTCCATACTGAAAACATACCATTAGGCACACTCCTGCCTGATGTGCCACCTACCATCTCACGTCCCAAGAGCTACACAAAAAGCCACATGCTACGCTTGACACGACAAGATGGGTGAAGCGGGCTGACCCCCAGCACGTGTTGATGGATGCTGACCATGGGCAGCACGGGACTGGCATGGCCTGACTTACTGTGATCATAACAGAATTCCAGGTGGAAGAGAAGACGTCGGTGTCGTTGTTCCTCAGGTAATGCTTCTTCAGCTCCTTGGTGAAAAACTCTCTGGTCAGCTGAAACGCATAGACAGGAGGAGATGTAAAGGCTACAGCCAACGCCTTTCCCAAGCTCCCTTCTGCCAATGCTGGGGGGGTTGTTGGGTTGTTTTGGTTTTGTTTTTTTTTTTTCTGCAAACCTCAGAGGAGAAACATGGGAAAAGCCACTGGCTGCACCATAACTGTATCCAAGGTGAATGGGAGCTGTTGAATAAAACTGTTGCTCATTAAAAAATCAGGGACTGAGTGACATCTATGATGTAAGATAATGTTTACA